TATGAAGCAGGATTTCTTTTAAAAAAGAAATAACAAATTGACTCCTTTTTACTTGAAGAGGCGTTCCCAGTGAAATTACAAATAAAGTAGAAAAAAAGGAAGTGACTATTTAGTATACATTATTTAAAGGTAACAAAAAGCAAAGCAAGAATGAAAGAGGCTGTTAAGAATAAATGATAGATTGTGTGATCTCACAATGATAAGAACACATACCTAAGCCTCACAGCACTGAGGCAGTGGAGAGCAAGAGACCAGCAAGATTTCAGCAATAAATAAATAAATAAAAATATGCTTAGGGTTCCAAACACCTGACTGTACCAAATATCCCAAAAAATAGACTGTCTGTATAGTGCAGGACTGAAGACATGTAGGAAGGGTTCTGTAAGGCAAGGAATGAGACCTATAGCTGGTTCATTAGCTTTCGTTTCTTTGTATCATAAAGCAGGATGTCCATGCATTCAGTAGCAGATCCAAGATTTTAAAGAGAGTCCTATGGCATAATGGGAAAGCAAGTGAAGCAAAATGAACAGGACTGACAATGTTATTGCCTACAACTGCTATTGAAAGGAAGAAGACCACTTCTAGGAGCCAATTCCTACCCTGACTGAAAACTTATGGGAGTCCTCTAAAGTCAACAGGGTTGCATGGGGGTATAAATCAAGTCAGACGTTAGCCCTTTGTATATCAGGATTTGCCACTGTGTGCACTTTAAAAAAAAAAAAGACAGAAAAGGGTGTAAAAGTCTGATTATTCACAGACCAAGATTTGATCAGATGAGTGGATTCTGAAGACACTACTGAGACATATGATTCTAGACTAGGTTCCAAGGGTTACCTGCAATGTTCTTTTTCTGTGAATACACTTATATCTGATCTCAAACTTTGTTTTAATTTATTACAGTTTAATCTATTCTTCAATTTACTCAATTTAACACACCTGAGTAAATATCCACAAAACCATAGGCTGTAGGCATCTTGCTCTTGTTTCTCCTGTTACCAATAATCATGTCCAAGATCAGTTAAAGGTTTTGTTATGGCAGATTTATAATTTCAAAATATGGTAAAATGAAATTTTATCAACTGCAAATCTTTGTGGCACAGTTGAAACAGTGAGTGTGGCAGAAGTTTTATGTCATTAGCTATATAAACCAAGCCATACTTTATTTCTTCCATCAAAAGATAACAATATACAAAAGAATAAACCTTTACACACATGCAGAAAATAGGTCCAACAAAAAGGGGATTCACATTGCCTTGATAGGAGAGGTAATAATGCTTTGCACTTTTTGAACATCTTACAATGGATCTCATAACTTCACAGACATTAACCCCACATTGATCACCAGAGCATGTTGGTAATTTAAAAATATTGAATAGGAAAAGGCATCCTACAGAGAGTAGTCGTCCTATTCTTTGGTGCTGCTTGGTATGATAGTTATGAGAAGAGGTGGGGAGGGGAGGGGATACTCTGATTTAGTCACCCTCTGCTCAAGTTGCAGGTAATGGAAAAGATTCATTTTCTATTGAAACTATGCAAAAGTACCAAGATAGATCCTCTGATTTTCTCTGACAAGACTATTTGCTCAAAGCATCAATGCACATGTTGAAACCACAGGACATTATGGAGGAGCCATGGAAAGTTAGACTTATAGTTCTTAGGTGACTATCTGCTTTTTAACTAATCCTGCAGCTACCTTACTCAGTCTGTTAGTCAAATGCACTGACATGCAAAGTCAACAGATAAAGTATGCCAAAGGAGAGAACTCCTCAGGCATAGGTGAGGATATTTAAAAGAGCCTGCACTTCTATTTCAACTTCCAGTACTCTAAATATAGCATTAGATCGTTGAAGCTTCATATGGCTAAACACCTGGAAGAACTGGCAAATCTTAATTATGTCCCACTTATTGCTGCAACAAAAAGAGGACTTACGCAGGGGGAGAACCACCCATCTTTGATGGACGGGCGATATTAGTTGAAGGTATTAGTTGAAGTTGAGCATCCACTCCGGAGCAGCTGGCCAATTTCGTACATAATATGCTATATTACATAAAATGTAACCATCTGTAGTATGGCTGTCACTGCACAGCTAGGATCAGGATCCAGAAATATTATTTAGATGGTTGTTCATGAGACCAAATTTTTGTTGACAAAGGGGCCCATTCCTGAGATGGGTGGGTGCAGAGAGAAGCGGGTTTCTAACAGACATAGATGCTGCATCTGGACAGGGACTTTTCTATTCAACCTATTTTTGCTACTTTGCCAACTCTGGTCTGAGAAATCTTGATTTAAAAGTTCCCTTTATCTGTCCAGACAGAATACACTTTACTGTAGTGTTTCTCAAAGTGTGGTCTGAAGAGCTCTTGCCTGGTGTGAGGAGAGCTAGCTGGTCCCATCATGCTGACTCGCCTATGGTAGTGTCTAGTAGCTTCTACCGATGTCTTTCACTGAGAAGAAAGCATGGATGCCTTTTAAAGCACCTCAAAATGAGGAGCCACCCACCTAACTGTTTCTACTGGGCACACTGCTCATACAGGATGATGAAGTGAGGGAAACAAGATCTGGAGCTGCCAGAGACCAGTAAAATTAATATTTTGGGGAGAAGAGAATGAACTAACTGGGAATTAAATCCAAGTGAGATGTAACCAAGCAGCAGGGAAACATGCAGGAGAATGGGAGGATGGCACGGTTTAGGCAGGAGAGAGAGCAATAAAACAAAGGTTTCAGAGTAACAGCCGTGTTAGTCTGTATTCGCAAAAAGAAAAGGAGTACTTGTGGCACCTTAGAGACTAACCAATTTATTTGAGCATAAGCTTTCGTGAGCTACAGCTCACTTCATCGGATGCATACTGTATCACGAAAGCTTATGCTCAAATAAATTGGTTAGTCTCTAAGGTGCCACAAGTACTCCTTTTCTTTTTTCAATAAAACAAAGTTACAGATGTAATGAAAATTTGAAGTACAGGAAGTCACTAACATTGTAGAAGGGCAAATACACCTTATTACACTGAAGACAGTTACCAGTACATGTTCTCCTAAAACTAGCTTTCCACGCCATGATTGCTAGTTATTTTAGTGAATTATAGCTGTAAACTGCAAGGGGTCATTTCTAACCATTGCTGGGAACTTCAAAAGCAACAAAAATATCTGAAATACATAGAAAAATTAAATGCAAAACTTTAACTGTACAAAAGAGAGGAGCTCAGAATGTGTGCTGCACTTGCCTATGATTCATTCATGGCTTTCTGCCAAAAAGCTAAATACATACAAGACCAATGGCTCAAGGGGAAAGGTAGGACACTTTTAAAAGCACAAAGATAAATGATTTACAGAGCAGAACCCATTGAAAGAAAAGCTTTCTGCCTACACCAACCAAAAGAGAAGTTTTTCAAGTCTCTCTTCCAAGATTTACTACACAGACTGGAATATTTGTAATGTATCAACAGATGGAGTAAACTAGGCATGCTCAAACTGGGATTTTTAATCCTCTCCTTGGAGAATAAGAAATGGCCCATTCTGTTGCTGTGCACAAAGAAAGTTCACCACTATGCAGTGCATATCTTAGCTTGGCTTACTTCAGTTATGTAAGACAAATAAAACCAACTCAAGTTACAGGCAAGCTCTATAATAAAGTAACACCTGTAATGTGAAAGAGACTGAGTCACTGGAAGGAGCCTACATTTTAAAGCTTTGGAGGGTTTGGCTCTATACAAAACATCTGTTGCACATAAAAATGTTTACTTAGCTGTTGAGCAGAGAGCAATACATCCCCCCCCAGAGAACATTACTTATTAAACATATGCCCTTGCTCAGCTAAGTAGGCTCACAATGAAGACAGCTCTGCTCTATAGCAGAAACCAGGGTCAAACCTCACTCTCACAGATCAGATCAAGTTATTTCTAAAGTTCTGAACCATTTTTCATGAGTGGGCACCTCTCAAAACAGCAATCCCACATTAAAACATTATTAGATTTCTGGTTTGTTTAGAAACTGTACTCTCACCCTCTCCTCCACAGCTCAAACTCATCTCTAATGCATTTCCTCACTCACTTTAAACATAACCAGTTGCTTATCCCAAGATCTTGTGTCAGTGAGGACTCTGACGAAAAGAATATGTGAAATATGAGCATGTTACAATATAAAACATCCTAATGGGATTCTTTTAGTGAAGGGTCTATTCATACTTCCCTATTTGCCTTATTAAAAAACAAAACAAACAAACAAAAAAAACAAAGAAACAACTGAAAGTAACCAAAGGATGGAAATTTAGTTAGAATCAAATCTTCAATGTCCAGTTATATTGAAACATAAAGCCCTTACGTGAATAGGACTTGAGTTAAGCATGTGCCTAAGAGCTTTGCTAATCGTGCTCTCAGCCAGGTATTAGCTCAGGGGTATCAAAATATTTTAACTGCCTCAGCACCAGCACATAGGAAATCTCTGAGACAGTCGTTGAAGCAACGGGAGCCAAAGCATTTAAGATTTTACTGATCAAAATCTGATATTGCTGACAAGGCACTGGATTGGGAATTAGGAGAGTTGGATTCAGTTCTCCGCTCTTCAACAGACATCTTTTTTTACCTTGGACATGTCACTTAATCCTTCTTCACTTCATAATGAATTAGGGGATACAGATATTCCTTTTGTCCACCCTTTGTTTTGTCTGTTTAGAATGTACGCTCTTCACATTTGTAAAACGTTTGCGTGTTTGTATGACACCTAGCACAGTGGAACCCTGATCTTTGTTGAGGCCTCTAGATGTAATAGAATTATAAACACACTCAGGTAAGAAAAACTGGTACATCCTATATGAAATATGAAGAGCATACAACAAATGGGTTAATTTGCTGGAGCAATTTTTTAGTTCTCTACTTGAATTATCTGGTAATATACATTTGGTTTGTACATTCTTGTGACTGTGATTCTTCCAGTCTTCACTCCCATGTTCAGTGAAAGGCACCTTATGAACCTAAATTATTTTTTCACACGAAACAACTGTGGATATTTTCCTGATATAAAATATTTTTATTTTTTCAAAGTTTGATTACAAAAACAGAAGACACATACACACAGGAAAATACAATTCTACAGAGAAATACATTCCTCTCAATTATTTTATCATGGACTAAATCCTGCAGGCTGGTGCATTTCCCCCACTTTAATGGGAATGCAGGATGGCTCATCAGCATACTGTCAAATTGGGACATAACTTTCCAGTGGGGTGATTATACTCATCTGGCCCTCCAACATCACACTTCAGGATATTTGAACAGCACAGGAAGTAGGCTTGTGTTTGTCTTGTCATTATCTCCTATTCCTGCCTTTGTCATTCTGAATGGTGTCCAACATTCTTAAGAATTTGCTGCTGAATAAGCCTCATTTTTAAATCAGCAACTGATTTCAGAGAATTTTTACTCATTTTACTACAAAATACATCATTTGTGGGATTATTCAAGTATTTGTTCCATATCTATTTTTGGTTAAGATAAGTGGTATTTTGTACACAAGACTAGCAGGCAATCAAGCAGACCCTTTATTTTTATTCTCTCCCCCTTCCCCCCCCCCCCAAAAAAAATCCAACCAAAACCTGAGGAACTAACTAGTTATGTGCCCCAGCTCCACTAGTCTGTCTTTTTTTACTCTCAACCCCCATCCTCCTTGTGTATGCCACTTAGATTATGAACTCTTCAGAGCGGGGACTTTGTCCTCTTACTACCTGACACACAATGCTAGAGCTACATATACAACTGTTTCCTAACCTGAATAACTTTTGTTGCAGAATATGCCACAGTTAAAAGAAGTGCCAATTATTTTCTATTTAAAGGTGATGCAAGGATGACACTACCTTTCACCTGTTACGTGGGGATGATATCCTTTTTCTTTGTGCTTGGAGACTAACCTGTTTTCCCAGTTTCACTTTTCTCTTGCATTTCTGAATATCCTAGGCTTACTGATTCATGGTCTCTTTCCACAGGGTACAGAAGCAGCTGCAAACCAACTTTCTGAGCCTCTCTAACATACCTAATAGTATGAGGCAGAGACTTACTATTATAATTATTGGCAACTCATGGAAGAAATGGGTTTTCAGCCATTCTCCAATATAAATTCCCTTGCCGTCTTTTTACTTTTTTTTCTCTGAAACAATCAATATGGAAATTTTAGCCTAACATATTGTATTCCTGGAAGTTTGGAAACGTAAAGCCTACCACTACCAGAAAGTGCACACTATACAGAAATGTTTGTCCGGTTGCTTTGACCCTATTCCAAGATTTGTAACCAACTACTGATGGGTGACAATATGATAGGAATATACATATAGGAAAGACAGTTAATAGGAACAATGGCTTTAGGAGGATATTCAATGTTCCGTATTATCAGTCTTATTCCAATAAAGTTTTAAATGGAACAATCTAGTTTTATCTACTGACTCTAGATTTAAATTTAATCACTTTAAGCTCTTCAGGATTTTAAAGTCATAGATTGTTACATCTGTTCAATGGTGATGAAAGCAGAACTGAATTAATGAGCCATGTTACACTATGTTATTTCCTCAACTTCCCACTCAAATTTCCAAGCTGCATGATATGCTTAAATTACTCCTTGGAAATAGGTAACAGCTGGTTTTACACCCTCAATTCTTTTTGTAATTTAAGATTTTCCTAAAACTTCCAATTAAATGAAATCAAAATGATAAAGTTGAGTAATTAAGGTTATGCAACAAAAAATGTAGTCTGTGGGAAAGTTGCTTTTAAATTCCTAACCTCTTTATATTTTTGTTTTTGCCTTATTGAGACTGCCACTGGCTTTAAAACCAGATCAAATAGTGAGAAAAAGGATGCCCCTGTCAAGTCCCTTCATATGGAGAACACCTGTTAAGAAAAGCCATTTCTGAATAAACAAGGAAGTAAAGCCACTTGATCCAAAGAGAAAAAGGAATTCTGAAACATTCCCATTATTTTCAGCAGCTACTCCTAATACACCATATCAAAGATTCTCGTTACATTAAAAAGTCAATGCCTCCACTGACCGCATCTTTAATAACTTATTGAAAAGTAATAAGAATATGGTAGTTGAATCTCTTTTGTAAAGCTGATCTGATTAATTGGAGGAGAATAGGTTCTATCCTTATGGCCAGTATTTTCACACACATTTTACAATTTACATTAATCAAGTAGTTTATACTGTAACTAACAACGTCCATGATTTTAACCAGGCTGATTTTAAAGCACTTTGTGAGTTGGTAGTGCAGAACACTTAAAATATATTGCGTAACTTACACATTACTGGACCCAGAAGCTTAATGAAAATTGACCTTGTTTTGAAATATAACCTCCCAGCCACTATTTAGTTGTGAGTTATGTTGCTGTCAACTAAAAGGATTGCCAAGAATGGCTGACCTTTATGATACCTTACCGGCTCGTAACTCTTCAGTTACCTATGCTCCCAGACATGGCACAGACAGTGAAATATATCCTCCAAAATGCTTCTATCTCATTAAGTATTTTCTGGGTTGTTTCAGAGTAACAGCCGTGTTAGTCTGTATTCGCAAAAAGAAAAGGAGTACTTCTGGCACTTGTGGTCAGTTTGGATGAGCTATTGCCAGCAGGAGAGAGAGAGTGAGTGAGTGAGAGTGAGTGAGTGTGTTGGAAATGGCCCAAATTGATGATCACTTTAGATAAGCTATTACCAGCAGGACAGTGGGGTGGGAGGAGGTATTGTTTCATGATCTCTGTGTGTATATAAAGTCTGCTGCAGTTTCCACGGTACGCATCCGATGAAGTGAGCTGTAGCTCACGAAAGCTCATGCTCAAATAAATTGGTTAGTCTCTAAGGTGCCACAAGTACTCCTTTCTGGGTTGTGTGTGAGAAAAATGTATTCTTGATGGATTCCACTCTGCAGAAGGGTTATAGAGTAATATTGCACTTTTAAAATACATGTGCTCACATGGATTTAATGTAAAAAATAAAGAAAGAAAGAATTGTATGGGGAAAGTTTTAATATCTAGTTAAAACTCAACTGGACCCCACAATTCTATAAACTCCTCAGAAGAGACTGGAGATGAGAACAGGAGAAAGCTTGAGAAGAAAGAATCTGGACTATTTTGGAGAGGAAAGCTATCAAACATATAGGAATTTTATTTTTTTGCTTTCAGATGTGCAAACAAGCATTTCTGGCAAATGTATTTGAGAGTCAAATCATTAATATATGCAGGAAAACCTTAAGTATAATTGCAAAATAATTCCCTCAGCCGTCAGCAAATTATCTGCACCAAATGAGATCCGTACCCCATGTAAGCAAGTATTTGTATATACATAGTATAATTGTTGCTACCGATCCACAGTTTACATAGGCAGTTAAGCAACAGGTACCAATTGCACAATATTTGCAGAGAAAAAGAAGTCTGTTTATTTACCTATACATAGTATGTACACAACTTGGACATCAGGAAGCCTTCCTTAGGCATCCTTTTGTCATTTTATACATTTTCTTCATACTGTAAGTCACTGATTTCTTCAACCCTAAGAAAAAAACAAGACAGGCAGAACTTAGGAAGAGAAACAACTATTTAGTTCTTGAGAAAGCCTTAAACAAATCTTCAAATAAAATACTTCCCTGGAAAGGTGACCAAAGGCTATTTGTATAGCAACAGCAGATAGCTAACTTTTCCTTTTCTTGTAAGATTCATGATATAGTAGCTAATAGAGGCTGATGGCACGTGAGAGATAGACAAAATTGACAAATTCCATGGATAGCAACCGCTAAGAATGATAATGCATGATTCAAAACAGGGTAGGCACTGTTCACCCTGAAGTGCTTCTGGTGACAATAAGAGTCAAAATGAGTAAAGGACTGTGAAGTTATAATTGTATACATGTATGCAGACATATCTGCCTGTTACTCTTAACACTGCTGAAGATATCTGCAGTGATAACTCAGGAGGCATTTGCATTGCACATCCTTGTGGAACAGCTTGTCAAGCATTGCTGTGTCCCTGCTCTCCACCACCCACTGCGTGTGTTCTGCTAAGTGGGAGAGCATGATGACATGGGAGTGAATGCCAAAAAGTTGATAAAGACCATAAGTAATGCAGCAGAAGCAGAGCCGAATACTAGAAGGACTGTCTGGGGAAGTCAGGAAGCCGAGGGGCCGGGCCATCACTAGATGACATCTGTGAGGGGATCCTGAGTCCAACCAGCAAGGATTATCAGCTATTGGAGCAGAGGTCAAGAAGATGATTAGGACCTGAATGAAAAAATTACGCTTCTCCCATTATAAAAAAATTCTTGAACATTTCTCTTAAAACAGTCCTGCAATTGAAAGAGCCATAAAGTGAAAGATGAAATTTGGCAAGGTAAAAGCTCTCAGAGGAAAAGTGCCTGAGTATTGTGGTGAAAATTTGTTCTGATTTGAGCTTTTTGGAGTAGAATGCTGCATATCACTTCTTCATTAAGTGTGTGAGAAAGGACATTGCACATGCATGCATGGCTAGTTTTCATGAAGGTATGCAAGGGCTGAGCCTGAGATCTAAAGCAGCCATTGCCTCAGTACTTGTGCACATTCTAGGTGTGAAGGGCTGAAGGTCTATTTCTGTGTACTTTGCAAGATGCACCTTTAGTGACTCAGTTCCTAAAGTTTGCAGGAGAGGGATCCTCCCTTGTGGGCCTAATGTGAAAGGGACATGATGTTCTGCTGTGTTTAACCATAGTGTACCAAATTATGAAATTTAAAACGAAGTATTGCTCATTTTTGGCAAGCCAGCAAAGCTTTGAGGCCCTGGAGAGTGACGCTTTTTATGTATTTCTTACTTCCTCCCCCCAGTTTTTAATTTAAAAAAATACTATGAAATTCCCTACATTACGATAAGAACATTGAAGTTACAGGGTTAAGCACTCAGAAGTCTGAAAATCAAGATTTTAAGGCTGCACAGTTATAGTTCTGCCCCCTTGTACGTATGCATCAAAATGTACTCTAAACTATATACTACCTTTTCTACAACCTTATGTATGCATATCAGCTTGCAGAACTGTGTATTACTCTGTATGCCAGACTAAGAAAGTACATTGAAGTAATTTAACCATAATTGCTAAACATACTTCAGTATAACGGAACAGTGACAGCTTGCTGACACAGACAGGCAACTTAGATTCAGAGTTAAGTGTAACATCCACTGAATAGCATCTTTGGAAAGGTGGAAAGAAGATGATGTACATCTCATTCAATTATTAAAATATACCTTAAGCAGTAATCAATTTCATATGAAAGTATTTTAAATAATATTTTAAGTCAAAGAAATACTGGACAATTAACATAATGAAAGAAGTGCAAGTGTATATACAAAGTTACAAGATATTACTTGAGTACTGAACACTGTAGAAAAAAGTATTATAAATTGCAGAAACAATGGGATTATGTCATTAAAAAGAAATAATGGACATGCAGGAAAAGGTTGAATTAAGGATGTGCATGCAATCTTAATTTTTGCATTTATTCACTTGAGTACCTAACTGTTCAACCCAAACATTAACAGAGAACTTTGTTTGGAATATGCATCATATGTACCATACACAATACTTTTCAAATTAAAATTTATATAGTTGCATGCATATGGACTCTAGAGTACTGCAGTCAAGAAAAGTAAATGACAAATAATCTGTTATTTGCATTACGGTACCATCTAGGAGCTTTGGTCATGGACTAAGACTCCATTGCACTACGCACAGTAAAACAGAAAAAAGGATAGTTCCTGTCCCAAATAAAATTGCCTAAAAAAATATGACCCTGTTGACTACTGCCCAAGCTACTAGGGTACTGTACACCAAGAAAACACAAACCTGTAATTCTGAAGTTGCTGTACGTAAAAATTATGTTCTGCCATTCCAATGAAATCAATGTACTCTCACTATAACAACAGTATGGCAGATGGAATATCAGCAGTAAAGCAGTTAATATATCCCTGCAGGGCTCCTTTGCTGCATTGGCACTGCAGTCAGAAAAGCCAGCCAGTTTTATCTGCTTGCCAACCAGTACAGTCTCTTGCAGCTGTTGAACATTAAGAGATTTTCTTAATATCCTCCCTGCAGTGAGCACTCTACTGAACCCCACCCACTTCAGCCCTGAGACTGGAATCTTATGTAATAAGAGGCTTTATCTATTCCTATCCCAACCCATCATGCTACAAAAAAAATGCAGGTTCTTGCATATAGCAAATTGCTTATAACAGCCCTCTGGGTGATGAGTCACATCTGTAGTAAAAGTTAATGGTCACAATTCTACCCCCGTTTCAGAATCTGTTTGAAGACATACTCGTGAGCACTTGGACAACAACTATCTTTCAGCTTTTACTATGAATCCATGATTACTTGGAGCGTGGGTCTCCTCCTCTCCCTCCTTCCCCCCACTTAAATTTTTCCACCAGACGATGCAGAACAAAGACTTAAGATAATGCACAACTGCAAACATTTTTGGGGATTGAGCCATAAGAGGTTGTAAGTGCTTCTGGCCATTAAGGGTCCCAAATCAATTTTTTTGTAAGAGCAAGGGGTTAGCCCAAATATCCTGGAATGTTGAAATTCAGCCATTTTCCCAAACTTCCCCTGTAGCTACAGTAGAGGGGGTATTCTTCACTTCCTGTCATGTACTCATGTTCAGGATTAACATATGCACTATCACAGTGGCTCTCAACCTTTCTGGACTACTGTACCCCTTTCAGGAGTCTGATTTGTCTTGCGTATGCCCAAGTTTCACCTCACTTAAAAACTACTTGCTTACAAAATCAAACATACAAATACAAAAACATGTAACAGCACACTTACTGAAAAAATTTTTACTTTCTATTTTTACTATATAATTATAAAATAAATAAATTAGAATATAAATACCGTACTTACATTTCAGTGTATAGTGCATAGAGCAGTATAAGCAAGTCATCGTCTGTATGACATTTTAGCTTATACAGACTTTGCTAGTGCTTTTTACGTGGCCTGTTGTAAAACTATGTAAATATCTATGAGTTGATGTATCCCCGTAAGACTATTGTGTACCCCCAAGGGTACACACACCCCTGGATGAGAACCACTGCACTATTAAACAGCTGCATTTACAGTGAAGTGGAGCAGTGCTTAATATTTGCTGTTGGCTGGTTAACAGCCACTGCACCAAACAACGGATGTCAACATATAAAGGCTGCTTGCACATAATTACAGCAAAGTGTCCATAAAACATAAGGCAAATTTAGTTTCCAATTCTCAAAAAAACATCTCTTATTTAGGACAACACTCAAGCATGTGTGTGAACTTCAAAGGAACTTCAGCAACAGAGATTATTTAGTTTGCAATATTTTACCCATTAACCCTTAGATAAATAAATAAATAAATAAATAAATAAAATGAAGAGTAGAAGCAGAAAAGTCCCTTGGTATATCTGACACATGTATTTGTCAACATTCAATGGAATTGAATTTGTCTCACAGAAACCTGTAGCTCAATGGTTCATTCCTGTCAATATAATGAAGTATGATTTTATTTCAGATAAAGTTTCCAAACTCAAAAATATCAACATACAATCACTCCTTAAGAGTAACTAAACATAAAATGTCAAAGTTTTCAGTTCCACAAGACTATACAGACTCCAGCTAGGAGGAAAAATAAATCAAACGATGGTGCCATCTCTAATAGAAAACAGACCAGAAATCTCCCCACAGACTTCAGAAATTATACAGGCACATTTTCAAAAGCTAAATAGGGCATTTAACAACAAACAAAAATACAGAGCTCAAGCTCTATTTGAAAACCACACTGGCAGAGAAAGATGAAGGATAGTCCTGTTAGGTGGGTTGAAATTCTTTGTTATGTCTGTGTACTCTGCCAAATAATGTTAGCAAACAAACAGTGTGCCAGCTAAGTAATGACCACCACCCTGGATATGAATTACTGTACTCTCACTTTAACAGCATGGTATAGATTAGCTTGTTAAAGGCTGGATTGTAGGTGTTTTAGGATCTACAGTTTCTTTTTTAAAGCAGCAAGGCTATTACAAAAAGCAACAAATATCCTTTACTAATTGTACTAATTAAACATCATTTAGTGATTATCTGGAAGCTTCTGGAGTATTGATACATTATCTCCTTTTATAAAGTCAGAACTACCAATCACTGGCTTTCAGCTAGAATGATGGTAGGGAAAATTAACATCAACGTTGCACAAATGTACTAGGGATGAGATTCCAGACATCAGGCCTTGCCAACACAGCTGCCAGGAATAGAAGGAAAATGGACAAAGAGCTTCAAACCACTGATTCAATGGCTGGCATTGCCACTTATCTATATGCTTGCCAGTATCACTTGAATAGGACTGTGTGAGAAAGAAGGGTGTAAGGGACAGTTGGATACATAAGTGAAGATCCATAACACTTCTTCACATCTTTACTAGTTCAAAGTCATCTTAGGAGAATTAGAGTTAAAATGAGAGGTATCTTTGTTAAGGAAAAGAGTAACAAAATCAGTATCTTTAGGTGTAACTGA